TGCCAAGTTCTCTTACATGATGTACTAATTACAAGCCCCAAGGCCATAGGGACAAGCAGGATAGAAAGAGACACAGTGTTTTCTGTGTTTATTTAGTCCCATAGTTCTAAGTAACAACAGCACCTATGAAAACACTTCTGGTACTTCCTTCTGGTCCTGTTGGTTGATGTCTCTTATAATGAACATGTAATTGTGGAACGTCAGTATTATCTCAGGTTTCTGATTCAAAATGGGAAACATAATCACCTGTGATTATGAGCCCAAGAAGGTTGACCTTGCTAAAGGAAGTGGTCTTCAAGAAATATATGATTTTGCATGTGGTTGCATCAAATTTCCTTGGACTTCTCAAATCCAGTGTCTGCAGGTGTCATGTTCCTCTTGATCTTACATAAGCTCTAGAAGAATCATTTCTAGTCAAAGGAGAATGGGACAAGTAATTAGAGCACCCAGGCACAATTTTGGGTTTTGACCTTTCCTAAAGACGTATTAATGTTAATATTTATATATTACCTTATAACTCACCCCTTTTATACCTTTTTTGTTACTTGCAGCCCATATTTGCATCTTAAATGTCTCCCAAATGAAATCCCAGGTAGGTGAGGTAGGGGAACATTTAGAGGTGGGCCCTAGAGGAAGGAAGGTGGTTTTGGGGGTTAAAATATGATATTAAAAATACTTTATTGAGAATTTTGTACAGGAATATAAACATATAAGGTATTTTGATCAAATCCATGCCCACTCACTCCCTCCAACTCCTCCCATATCTCCCCATCACTTTTTTTCTGATAACTTCATGTACCCTTTCTTCTTTTTATTATTATTTTTTATGGAGCTTTTGGCTACTCTAACATTCCCCGCTCTGAAGAGGTAGACCTAAAATCTTTTAAAGATTAGGTGAGAGCTCCCAAATACTTTTGACACTTTTGGCCTTTGGAACAGAATATGTTCTAAGAGGACTAAGGACATTTTGACTTTTAGCCAAGAAACTGGCTACTTTTCTTTGGGGTCTTTTTACACTAACTGCCTAGCCAATTCCTGCCTCCTATTCTTATCACACCATCCTCTGGAGGGGTTACCTAGCTTACAGATAGGGAATTGGGACACAGACTGCTCTGGCTTCTTCCATGCAGAACAGGGACACAGGCTGAAGCAATTGGGGTACCCCTTCAGTGGATCTATCTAAAAGACTCCCAAATTGCATAACTCTTATTTGTAGGGAGAAAAGAAAGTCCTTTACTGGTGAATAGAAGATGTGAAGGGGAAATAAAAGCAAGAGTAATTAGCATTACAAGTTCCAGATAGGAAAATGGAAGAAAATCAGAACAGGGAAAATTTCAAATGTTCATATGAGAGTCCATTGTAATTTCTTGACGAGAGCTTCCAAAAGCATCCCTCTATTTGGTTCCTCCTCATTTTTCTTTTGTCTGCCTAAGCTGGATTCGAGAGAGTGATGTACTCAAGATTTGTTTTCAGGCATTTTGATAGGTGTTGGAGTGGTTAGAATCAGTGTCAGTTCCTTCTCAAAGGCTTCTAGATAGGGGGCGAAAACAAATTTGGCTATCATTTTAAGACAATATTGGTTGTCTCCCTTATCTACAGGTGGGCGCTACAATTTTTAAAATCAAGAAAACTACAAAGGCACTTGTCAGTGTTTCTCAATTTTGGCTCATCAAAACTGTGCATTATTAAGTATATATGTCTAGGTTCATGCTGCAGACATTCTGATTTGGCAGGTGGAGAGGAGTTTCTGGTTATGTCTTTCTGTAACTTGTGTGCAATAAAGTGGTGTGGGGCAGTTAAAAAACACATCTATTGAGTGATCATTTCAAGGCTACATGAAAATGCTCCCCATTTCTGCCTCTTTTCGCTGTCTTTTTCTCTACCATTGTATGCCCACACTCACCTTCAGGAGTTTTTGTTAGAACAATGCAGTGTTGAAGAAATAAGGTAAACAGAGATCATTGAAGAGAAGGCTTACAGGTTAGAGTGACTTTCTCTTACATAAAGGTTTTTAAACTGTGATTTATAAAATTATATATTCATGTTAAACTCATTTTTAGCAAACATGTCTTCTATTCTCTATGAACCTTGACTAAAGGGGCTGAGACAATAGCTCATTGGATAAAGTGCTAGCTGCCAATGTGAGGCAAGACGTTCAGATTCCCAGAACCCATGTCAAATGTAAGGCAGGTGTGATGGTTGCCTGGGTTTCCACCTGGTACAACATGGCTAGAAAGCAAGCTAGAACTAGTGAGCTCTGGTTTCATGAAAGAATTAGAGAGCAATTGAAGAAGACAGCCATGCACAAGTGCACATGTACCCCCACACATGACCACACACATACAAACATGTGTACACATACCTGTATTTCACACACATGTGAAAAAGACTTGACTTTCATTTATGTATATTTGTTACTTTACTGACAAATTAAGAATGTATTTTTATATTATAGAACAAAATGCTTTAACCATATACATTATATGGCTCAAAATCATCAATAAAACATGATGTTCTCCTGAAAATCAGCTAAGTATTCAGTGTTCTTTAACGGGCCTACCAAGGGAGACACTGTATCATTGGTTGTATGGTTGGGCCTAGGTGGCAATAAACTTCACCTTTCTCTCCTAAAATAAGTTCTTTTCCTCTTTCTATCTTAGGGACGCCTAACATGCAAGCCACGTTATTTTATTTCATATGCTTCCTCGTTTGGAATGGTGGTTCCATCTATTTCGTTAGGCAAGCAACTTTCCCTAGAGAGAAGGCAAATGTCAGATTCACCAACTACTTATCTATGTATTCTGTTCTTGCAATCCACATGCATTTATAGGTATAGCACTCAAAGTGGCTGAGCAGTTCTCGAGATCCTTACTCTAGACATTCCATCTTAGGGGACTACCCTGTTCTTCAACTTTTGAGTTTTCACTATTGTCATTACAAATTTGTTGTTGCTGTTTTCTTTTCTCTTTCTTAATATCCCTTCCGGATATCTATTCCACATTACCTTCTAAAATGTATTAATATTTTCTTAGAAATACAGTGGAGAGTTGGATTTGTTCTGTTTTGGTTTTAGTCTATTTGAGGTGGAGTCTCCATGTAGCCGTAGCTGGTCTGGGACTCACTATGTAGACCAGGTTGGACTTGATCACACAGAGAGCCACTGTCCTCTGCCTCCTGAGTCCTGGGATTTAGGGTATGTGCCATCATACCTGGACAGAGAGTGGGATTCTTATGTAAAAGACTGCTGAGTAGAGTGATCTTGGAAAAATTTTAGTGTTATGAAATCAGTGGAAGAAGGGGGAGAAGCCAAGCAAGTATGCTGTTCATGGGTTGACCCACCAGTCTCTGGAGAATGAATAACTTTCAGAGACTGTCCTGCCAAGAAGCAAATGGAGAGGCATCCTGAGGCCCCTGCGTTGTGATTCCCCATCTAAGTAGCACCCCCACCTGTAGTGAGACCTGCAGTATTATCCTTCTGTGCAGTGCCAGTTGAATCAGCCTCCCATCATCCAGCCTTCTGCTGGTGTGAGTTGTCAGCAACCATCTCTGATAGCATTTGAGAGGGTGCACACTACAGTTCAGAACCAGAATCTGGGGAGGACAACAAGATCATATGTCACAATTTTTTTTTTAAGTTTAAGAAAAATGTTATTCATTCAAGAATTACATACAATGAATTTTGATTATACAGACCTCCTCCCCATCTCCACCCTCACCACACCACCCCACACTCTCCCCACCCTAGACTTCATGTCTTCTATTAGCAAATGAAAAACCCCATCCATCTTACATAACACCTCTGAGCTGGGTGCCAGAGAAATCATATCTCATTACAGTGTCAGTGATGTGTAATTCTTATACGGAAGTGTGCCAAAGTAAGGGCCCACTCCCTTTTCTTTGTATGTGGTTTTGGGTCAGCATACACCCAGGTTTCTTGGAATGGGATTTTCACTCTTAATTTCTGTTTCTCTTACACACTACTTAGGAATATCAAGTAGGGACTTCTCTTTCCTTGGGGGTCAAAAAACGTTTGGCTTTCCTCATCAATTTGTTCACAGTCTTTGCATGGAGGTGACACTTTGTCTCCAGGCCTCACTCAGCACAATGACCCCACTGTGGATGAAGGCGTTCTTGAACATAATGATTCCTCACAGGGTTTTACTGTGGGTAAAAGCAGAAGCTAGGTTCTCCGAGCAGGCAGGAATTAGCTTATAGACCTCCAATCCATGATTCCCGGGGTGGCAGTTAGGAAGTTTCACAACTTCACATGACAGCTTTACACGAGTGTCCTCTAGTTTATCTTTATTTGAAACCTATAGCCTTCTCAGATACCTAGTGTTGTTGAGGACTGCAGCCAGGACTTGACAGCCACTGGGTTGTGATAATCATCACCGATCATGAGTGCCACTGGGGTGCGTGGGTGGACAGGCAAGGTAGGCTCTGCCTCGCTGGTGTGTGTGGGCAGTCAGGCCCCATGGTGCTCATGGGCAGTCAGGCTCTGTAGGTATGCATGGGCAATGGGCAACCAGACTGGCTCTACCCTGCTGGTGTGTGTGGGGAACCAGGCCAGCACAGCTCTTCCATCTTGGCTCCCCATCTACATTTGCCCTTACTTATAAAGTTGTGAGCTCAGAATTTTGAGATCAATCTAGAAGCATCAAGATTATTGATAAAATGAAGAGTCCCAGAGTCATATTTTAAGTCCTTGTGCTGAGAGTAGCCATTGCTGACAGTTTTCTCACTGCTCTGCCATCTTGATTCTCCCATTATTTTTTTTTCTTACTTGCCAAGTCCTGAGTTCAGAACTTTGAGATCAATATAGAAGCACCTATAGTCAGGTAAATGCTCTTCTTGTGTGCTAAGGTTCCTTACACGGTCCACCACACTCATTCAGTCTCTTGGGAGTCTGTTCACTCTGGGCTCCAAGGCTGGCTGCCTGTGGGGTGCCTCCTTCCTGTACCATCTTTTCTCTCAACATCATCACTTTGAGCTATCTTGTCACTTTCCTTCATGTAGGTCTCAAAACTCATACTGAACAATGAGTTATAGGTTGCAAAAAGGATTTATTTTTGTACCTGTCTTTCATGACTTTGTCTACCAGTTGAACATACACACACAAAGTGCTACCTCACAGATATTTTGAAGAGGGGGTCAATTTTACACTTCAACAGAAATATACTATTCGAGAAAAAGAGATAACTGGTAAAGGCCAGAATAAGCACATTTATGGTTTTGGATTAACATTATTATAGGAAAAGCACCAGAAACCCACATTAGGCTTTCTCCTAAAATTTTCATTACAATTCAGATAGTACAATGACTATGTCTTAACCAAAAAATTGTACCAAGATTATATGACCAGGACTACAGGAATATTTAGCTATCTAACATTTAAACACCATCTCACACAGTGATAAAGGTGATTGGTCATTGATATTATTAATAGATCCACAATGCAACACTCTCATTATATCTTCATCAGCCACTGGTAATGTTCAGCCAATCAGACTTTCTGTTAAAATTTCTGAATAATTATAATGAAATAATTGCAATGAAAATGTTTAGGCTTTTTTGGTTAAG